ACATCATCCATGAATAAAGCAAAAAGTCATTAAAAAGACATGAAAGAAAGAAAAGACCAAAATGAGTATCAGAAAGGACTCTGAAACTTGCTCTTGAATGTAGAAGCTAAGGCTACTAGAAGAAAAGATGAAGTAAGAGAGTTGAACAGAATATTACAAAGGGCAGCTCAAGAAGACAAAGTAGTATCATGAAATATGCAAAGATCTGGAGTTAGAAAGCCAAAACGGAGGAACACACCCAGCATTTCTCAAGCTGAAAGGACTGAAGAAAAAATTCAAGCCTTGGGTTGCAATATTGAAGGAGTCTGTGGACAAAATATTGAACCATGTAGGAAACATAAAAGAAGATGGAAGGGATACACAGTCACTGTACCAGAAATAATTGGTCCGTATTCAACCATTTCTAGAGATAGCATATGATCAACAATTGCTGTTACTGAAGGAAGAAGCATACACTTCACTGAAAACATTGGCAAAAAACAAAACAAAACAAAAAAAACACACAAGGCTCCAGGACTTGGTGGAATACAGAGTGAAACCTTTCACCAAACTGATGCTGGCGCTCACTAGTCTATGCCAAAACATTTGGAAGACAGCTTCTTGGCCAACTAATTGGAAGAGATCCATATTTGTGCCCATTCCAAAGAGAGGTGACCCAACGGAATGAGGAAATCATCTATCATTATCACATTCAAGTACAATTTTGCTAAAGATATTTCAGAATATCAACAAGGAGCTGTCAGAAATTTAATCTGGAATCAGAAGATGATGAGGAACATCATATGGATCTTGACTAAAAACAGAGGAAACCAGAAAGATGTTTACTTGTGCTTTATTGACTACACAGAGACTTTCAACTGTGAATTGCACAGAATGGGAATTCCAGGAACGCTTCTCATGAGAAGCCTGTACTTAAACCAAGAGGTGGTTATTAGAATATGGATTGCTTTAAAATCAGGAAAGGTGTTCTTCCACCATACTTATTCAATCTGTATGCTGAGCAAATAACCCAAGAAGAAGGATTATCTGAAAAAGAACACGGCATCAGGACAGGAGAAAGACTCATTAACAACCTGCGATATGCAGATGATACAACCTTGCTTGCTGGAAGCAAAGAGGATTTAAAATACTTACTGATGGAGATCAGAGACTACAGTCTTCAGTATAGGTTTCACCTCAATGTGAAGAAAATGAAAATCCACATAATTGGACCAGTAAATAGCTTCATGATAAATGGAGAAAAGATGGAAGTTGTCGAAGACTTCATTTTGACTGGGATGTACAATCAGCACTCAAGGGAGCAGCAGTCAGGAAATCAAAGAACTATTGCATTAGGCAAATCTGCTGTAAAAGACCTCTTTAAAGTGTTAAAAAGCCAGGCTATCAACCTGAGAACTAAAGTACTCGTGATCCAAGCCATGGTATTTTCATTCACCTCATATATGTGTGAAACTTGGATAATGAATAAGAAAATGGATGCATTTGAATGATGGTGTTGGGGAAGAATATTGAAAGTGCCAGGGACAGCTAGAAAAACAAACAGATGTGTGTTGGAAAAAGTGCAGCCAGCTCCTCCTTAGAAGTCAGGATGGCAAGACTTTGTCTCATGTACTTTGGACGTGTTGTATGGAAGGACCAGTCCCTGGAGAAGGACAGCATACTGGTAAAGTGGAGAGTCAGCAAAAAAGAGGAAGACCCTTAACAAGGGGTGCATTGACACAGCGCCAGGAACACTGGACTCAAACAGAACCAAAATTGTGAAGTTGGTGCAGGACCAGGCAGAGTTTTGTTCTTTGGTACCTAGGATAGCTATGAGTCGAATTGACCTGACGCCTGGGTTAATGTGCTGGACTGCAAGGTTAGTTTGGACTGTAAGGTCAGCGGTTCAAACCCACTGGCGGCTCCTCAGAAACCATATATAGGGTCGCTATGGATCAGAAACAACATGATGACATTTAACAACAACAATGACATTGAGCATGTTTTCATTTGTTTATTGGCCATTTGAATATCTATTTAAGTCCTTCAGCTGTCTTATTATTAGATTTTTAGTATGTCTTTTTGTTATTATTGTCAAAATGTTAAATCTCTGTTGGTTATTAGACTCTTGGTGGATAAACAGAATGAAAAGATAATAGAATTTTTTCTATGAACTTTTTGAAACTCCTTGGTATGGTCTTGAAAGATATGCTAGCAGGTAGCTTGTCTTTTCTCTTTTTTTGGTAAAGCCTTTTGATTAACAGAAGTTTTAAAGATGTATGAGGTCCCATTTTTTATTTTGTCTTCTGCTGTTTGTGTTTTTGTTATGAAATTAGATTATCTATTGTTGAAAGCTAGGGCTAACAATGTTGCCCTGCTTATTCCTCTAAGAATTTTACAATTTTTATTTTCACGGTTAGGTCCTTAATCCATTTTGAACTTGTTTCTGTGTCTGGTATGAGACATATATCCTGCTTTAATTTCCTACATGTGGAAATCCAAATTTCCAGTGCCACTGACTGAAGAGACCCTTTCAACCTCAGATGAACTTAACACCCTTGTCAAAACTCAGTTGACCCACAGACATGTTGATTGACTTCTGTGCTCTCAATCCTATTCCCGTGGTCTGTGTGTCTATTGTTAAACCAATACCAAACTATTTTACTTACTGTAGCTTTGTAGTATATTTTAAAATCAGTAAGTGTGAGTCCTCCTACTTTGTTCTTCTCCTTCAATATTGTTTTAGCTATTTGGAACCTCTTTTCCTTCCAGATAAAGTTGAAGGTTGGTGTTCTGTTTCTGTAAAGAAGGCTATTGAAATTCTGATAAGGATTGCCATTGAATTTATAAATCACTTTGGGTAATATTGACATCTTAACAATATTGTCTTCTAATCCATGAACATGGAATATCTTTTCATTTATTTAAGTCTCCCTTATGTTTTCTCAGCAGTTTTATAGTTTTATCGTATAAGTTCTTCACATCCCTGATTAGATTTAATCCTAGGTATTTTATTCTCTTAAGGAGCTCTGGTAATGTAGTGGTTATGAATCGGGCTGCAAACCTTAAGGTCAGCAGTTCGAAACTACCAGCTGTTCCGTGGGAGAAAGATGAGGCTTTCTGCTCCCATAAAGATATACAGCCTTGGAAACCCTGTACAGGGTTGCTATGAGTTGGTTCCGACTCCACGGCATATAACCACCACCACCACTGCTTTATTCTCTTAGGTGCTACCATAAATGGAATTGTGTCCCTACGTTCCCGTTTAGATTTCTCATTGTTGGTGTTTAGAAAGTCTTCTGATTTGTGCTTGTTGACTTTATGCCCTACAACTTTACTAAATTCCACCATTAGCTCTAGAAGTTTTTTTGTGGTTGATATTACATTTTAATACACCACTAAATGAGTGGGGAAAATGTTATCTGCAATAACAGAAAACTTTTTTGAAAGTAATTGTTGTATAGGCTTACTCGTCAGATAGAAACTGGTGGAACCTGAACTCTCCCCCATGGCTTAATTTCCCTCCAAACAATAGGCAGATCTATCAGGGAACCCGTCACACTAGGGAGGTATACACACCTTAAATAATTGGGGAGCAAAGGGGCAGCATTTACCGAAGAGTTAGGAAAAGAGGAATAGAAACAGGAAACGCAAGGGGAAGTGGGATGAGTAGGGTTGCATTGTGGGGATTGCAGCCATTGACACAAACCAAAATGTGTATGAATTGTTGAATGCAAAACAAATGATCTACTCTGTAAACTTTTACCCAACTCACAATACAAAGGGTTTTTTAAACAAAAGATATTTGTAGTGTACAAACTGTTACCAAAAGTCTTCAGGTGGTCATTAAATTTTATACAAGTGTAAAAAGATAATAGCTTCCTTCCAAAGCATGCCAAATAATGCCGTACAATTATGAATTAACTTGTTTCTCATATGGGCCATAGTTTTAGAATGTACTTTTCCAGTACAAAGATCATTTACTGTATTAAAAGAAGAGTGCAAGTACAGACACTTCACACAAAACAAGAAACCACTGGAGTTGGGTATATTTTTTCCTAAAAAAGAAACTTACTCCTAAGTGTACCTCAAATATAATACCGATGCCCCCTATCTGCTAACTTCTCAATTAGTTGACAGGGTAACTGTGTTCGTCAGACCTAACACTACAAATCAAGTAGGTTCACAGCACAAGTATTGAATAAATGGATGTTAGTGCTAGTATTTTTAGTTTGGGAGGAAGAATAAATGGTAATCAAATTTTAAAATGGGAGAAGGAACTGACTTAAAGACAGAAGGACGAGAGTTTGAAGTCTCTTCAGGAGACCCAAGGAGAGATACTCATTTCATCATTTGAATTTTGGTGAACATAAGTAGTATTCTGGAATAGCTATGAATCATAATTTGAAAATAAAATTGAATAGATTTAATTAAAGAAAGTATGCCACTGAATAAAAGTATTGCAAGATACAAAGTTCAGTAGAGAGAAGAGATAGTGTAGGGTTAAAGAAACTACAAAATGGATAACTCATTGACCACATTGTTCTAGAAAAACTGGATTTATGAACTTTGTGGTTTCATTGCTATAGTGATATTTTGTTATTCTGTTAACGTTCCAACATGTAATTTGGTAAATTGTGGTATGTTCAGTTACTAAAGCATTGATTTGGCAACAGCTTAATTTTACTTCAATGAAATCCTATCAAGACTTTATATTCAACCCTTGGGTTCTTGCGTATAAAGTCCAACTGGAATGATTACATCCCAAAGTACAAATTGTTCTGGAGCTTTAGTATTGAGTTAAATGCCATTATTTTTTCATTGCGATAATCTATCTGTTGCCTTCTGTTACCTCTCCAAATCACCTCTACTTAGAAGACTGGAACAATCTGAGAGAGTGCAGTCTTGGAGGGAAAGAGCAGCCTCCATCTTCAGCTTGCTCTAGAAGCTCAAGCTTCTGAACTCTGGCACATTGCCACGGATTACAGAAAGGTGCTCACGGGACTGTGCTCTGTTTGCAGGTGATCCCCATGCTCCCCAGGCTGTTGTGTGAGGAGCTGTGCAGCCTCAATCCCATGACCGACAAGCTGACCTTCTCTGTGATCTGGACGCTGACTCCAGAGGGCAAGGTAACCACTTCGAGCCATTGTCCAGTCCCTGGGAACCTATGAAGCACTGATTGAACTATCCCCTGGGGGTGGGTGAGGGAGGTGGGGGGCAGCCAGCATAGGGAAGAACAAGTAAGGCCTCTAAGAAGTGTCGGGCTCACTCAGAGAGAAAGACTTTCACCCTAAGCAATTAGAAAACAGTTGTGTTTTTTGTATGTGATGGAAACAAATTGTGCAGTCAAGAGTAAATGAGGGAGGTTTCATGGAGGAGATAGGTGCTGAGGGTGAAAACAAATGTGGATGGGCAGATGAAGGAGGACCATTTGAGAAAAGCGTGGCGAGACTCTCAAATGCCAGTCACCAGTGTGTCATGGGTGTTAGGGTCCCTCTGAATTGTCTTGAGAGAGGTGACATCTTAGAGAGAAATGCTGCATGGTGTTGTGCAGGATGGCCTGGCAGGTTGAAGGTAAATTAACCAGGTAATGCTGCAATCAGGACACTCAGTGATGAACCCACAGACTAAGAACAGACAAGATTCTAGACACAGGGACACAAGAAAAACTGACCTCCTGCCCCCAAGACAGAAACAACTCAAAACATCAAAAGTACAGTCACGGTTAAACAAAACACAGTGCCTACTCAACGAACATTATACAATTACGAAAATGGTTTACAAAGGCCACGTGAGACTATGGGAGGTGTTTATGCTGTGCTATTAAATGAAAGTTTCAAAAGATATTTAATTATAAAGAGGTTCCAAATAAAGGTGGAGGGTTGAATACCCACATTTACTTTCATTCCCTCTCAAAACCTCACTAAAACAACAGTGAAGAGATTTTTTTAAAGGCATAAACCCACAAGGACAAGAAGAATGGGAGAGGAGGCAACAGCAACAGAGCTTTGGAAGCTGGAAAGCAGATGGCTGAGTGGTAACTGACTTAGCAGCCCTGAGAAAGCTAGATCCTGAGCCAACAAGAGAGAAAGCCAAGAAACAACCCCGTGTACACTGCAGAAACCTAAAAGAAATTCACAACTTGACAGTACCAGGCAACAATGAAAGGAAAGGCAAGAGCAGATGAAGATGAGGCAGACAAAAGTATTGCTTAAAAGCTTTTTTAAAAGAGATCGTCCTTGTCCTAATTCAGCAAAAAACCAGAAATTTCTTCTCTGCATACCAAACACAATATAGTTAGGAGAATAAAACTGAGTGAATGTTTGCATGGTGAATGTTAGGATTCCCAGCTTGCTTTTCCCAAACAACCCCAGAAGTTTGGTAGCCAGGCCTATACCATTAAGACAGACAGGAGTCGGAAAATCTTCCTTGAGGAATGTGAGTCTTGAAGAATAAAGACTTTAACAACGTCAGGCTAGCCCAGTCAGCAGCCCAGCTGTATCTCCCTGTACTCAGGTTTACAGACAACTCTACCCACACAATCAGAGTTTTCCAGTTTCTCACTTTTGTGAATCAGGAGATAACCAAGGAGAAAGCTTCTAATTTGAAATAGAAAGGAAATGAACAGGAAGGGGGGGGGGGGGGGGGACTAGGACCAAACATAACCTACAGGGAAAAGAAAACTATCATTTATATCCTCAGAAAGATTTTTAAGGTAGGGTCAGGAGAAAGAGGGGAAAGGAGTTATATATGTCATAGAAATAGGTACTTTCTAAAAGAAACCTTGAGAGAACAAAAAAAAAAGGTGTTGGAAATTGAAAACATCGTGAAAGGAATGGAGAAAGCTCAAGATGCTAATTAGAAGTTAAAGTTGATGAATTGTCCCCAGAAGAGAGAAAAAAAACTAAGAAAATGTGAGGCCCAGTTCAGGATATCCAACATCTATCTGTGCAATGTGCATTCCGGAAATAGAGGACAAAAAAAAATAAAGGGGAAGACATGATCAACAAAATAATTCAAGAAAATACCCATTTCTGGAGGATATGACTTTCCAGAAAGACATTTTGTTTTCTAGAAAGACTCGACTGCCCAGCACAGTTGTTGTTATTAAGTGCCGTTGAGTCGGTTCCGACTCATAGCGACCTTGTACAGGGTTTCTGAGGGTGTAAATCTTTACGGGAGTAGAAAGCCTCATCTTTCTCCTGTGGAGCAGCTGGTAGACCTTAAGGTTCGCAGCCCGATTCGTAACCACTACGCTACCAGAGCACAACCTGCCCAGCACAGTAGTGGAGATATATCAGTGTAAAATTTATCCTCTCTGTATACAGGGTAGATAGGGACAGGCAACTTAGACATTGGCTACCTAAAATAAGGGGATGATAAAGGCACAAAGTAACTGGCTTACATGGTCTTAAGAAGGAGTTTAGTTGCAGAGTATGCGGAAGAAAGTAAAGTCCCCACTGAATAGTTCTCATCTTGTCTAGATGGGTCTGGTGAAAAGAGATGGGGATAAGATTTTTATGATTCAATAGTGAGTAATAGTTATCATGACTAATTGAGACTGTCAGAACTGTCAAGGTAGAAGTTTTGTAGCAAAGCGGGGGGGGGGGCACTAGTTAATCTTATAAGAAGTTCTGGTAGTGTAGTGGTTACAAATCGGGCTGCTAACCTCAGGGTCAGCAGTTTGAAACTGCCAGCTGTTCCACAGGAGAAAGATGAGGCTTTCTGCTCCTGTAAAGATTTACAGCCTTGGAAACCCTGTACAGGGTCACTTTGTGTCGGAACCGACTCCACGGTACTTAACAACAACAACAGTTCATCTTACAGTCCAGGAACAGAGAACCCTAGCTCCATCAAGGGAGAAGAGCACAAGAGGAATGTGGGACCCTATCCAGAGAAGCAGCAATGGGAGAGATGATGACATAAAGAGAGAGAGAGCAGCTGAGGACTCTAGACTCATGGAAAGAGAAAGGCTGTGTGCTGGTGGCTGGGTGCTGGCAGCCGGAAGGCAGGCTTGTAAGAATGTGCACTGTGGTTGCTTAAATGATTATATATTCCTAAGTGTTTTCGTGTACATCAAAAAAAACCCAGAGGGAATAGAAGCAAAAATACTGTTGGAGGATGATGCACAGAGGAGATTGTAATCATTGCAGTGAAACGATGAGTGTAAAACCAGTGTTCTTCCATGTTAACTATCACTCAATTCGCAATAAAAACTTGAAGAAAAAAACCAAACAAGATAGAAGAGCTAGGAGTGGAGCCTGTCCTTTGGACCTGGGTCCCTGTGCTGAGATGCCGGGAATGATTGATGTCAAGACACATAAAGATCTCCAAGGAATGCTGGGCCTACTGATGTTGAAAGGAAATAAGGACCTTTCTCCATAGCTAGCACTCTGAATTCGGACTTCTAGCCTCCTAAACCATGAGAGAAGAAATTTCTGTTTGTTCAAGCAAAAAAATAGTTCTTAAGATCAAAGGGGCAAACATTATCTGAAATACACAAAAAGGGAATTGTAGAGACAGTATGCCAGCAATCATATTTGGGTAAGGGTTAGGAGCAGACATGGAAGGAAACCAATGAATGACAAAAGACCAGAAGGAAGTAAAACAAAATACCAGTAGGGGTTATAGATGGGGGTAAGACGATGAGTCATTTATTATTTTTTTGTATTTTCTTTAAATTTTTTAAAACACTTACTATGTTTATATTTTTATAGTTACTTCTTTTTGTAAGAACTTAAATAAATAAAAAATAAATGCCCATAGAAGAAAACTGAGTCAACAGAAAAGAACTTTGAATCTGAATTACTCCTGCCAAAAGTCAGGCCCAAGAAATGAAAGCTTTTGAGCTACAGAGCTCCGAAAATATGAGGGTCACAAGAGAAGCACCAGAAAGAGGCAAACAGAAAGCTCCGATGGCCTTCTGGGGTTCTTCTCGGAGCAGTGTCTGGTGACCAAGCCTTCTGGCATGACGGTTCTGGCGAGCAGGTGTGAAGTAGGCATAAGGCCCAGTAGAAACCAAAACCGAATTGAAAGTCAAAGGATTTGGACCAAGTACAGAATCGGGCAAGATCCACTAACTGTTCTCCTTAGACTGTGGTTAGCTGAGTGCCCAGATATCAGCTCTCTAACCAGACTGAGAGACTAGCTAGGAGATAGACCCAGTTAGTTAGCGCTGGGCTGTGGCGACATCTTATCCATACTCAGGATACAGGAGTTGAGAGGTCCGATTCAATTTCTGAAGTCCATCTCTCGCTTGAACTGATAAAATGGCCTCCTCACTATTCTTTCAGTTTCTGCTCTGCCCCACTTCATCTTCGCTCCACACAACAGTCAGAGCAGCCTTCTAGATCATAAATAAGATCTTGTCTCTGTTACTCAAACCTTCCAATCTCATTCAAAAGAAAATTTAAACAGTCTTTAGAATGAAAATTTTTCTTTCTGTTCTTTTCCCCCCATCTTCTCTGCTGGAAATGCCGTCTCCTGGGACTAGACTCTCTTCTCACCTTTGGGAGCATCTTTTCTGAAATGGGAGAAGTTGGCTCTTACTGTCCATTCTCTGCAGGCAGCCTCCTCCTCTCCCAGCTTCCTTTAAGGCTACCTATCAAACTAGCTTCTAGAAAGACCTTACTTACTTAAGTGTAGGTCAAATTTTCCCACTTACCATGTTCTAGCATTCTTCAGATTTCTGCCCATTCCTTGGAGGAAGTTTGTCCTGTCCCCGTGTAACTAACACAGCCCTTTGTAAGAACTGGACTTTGGAAGAGAACTATTGTATGTGTGAGACCAGGCTGCCTTTCTTCTGCTGGCCCTTTAGCACCTTTGTTGTTGTTGTTATGTGCTGTAGAGTCAGTTCCGACTCATAGCGACCCTGTACAGGGTTTCCAAGACTGTAAATCTTTACGGGAGCAGAAAGCCTCATCTTTCTTCCCCGGAACAGCTGGTAGTTTCGAACTGCCAACTGTGAGATTAGCAGCCTGATTCGTAACCTTTGTTGGTGTTGCTGTCAGGTGCCATCGAGTCGGAACCGACTCATAGCGACACCATGCACAGCAGAACAAAACAATGTCCGATCCTGGGCCAACCTCACTACTGCTGCCATACTTGACGCCATCAATGATGTCACCTG